AGATAGATAGATAGATAGATAGATGATAGATAGATAGATAGATAGATAGATAGATAGATAGACAGACAGATGATAGATAGGTAAGTAGATAGATAGGTGATAGATAGATAGATGATAGATAGGTAGATAGACAGATAGATAGATGTTAGATAGATGATAGATAGATAGGTAGATAGATGATAGATAGATAAATAGATAGATAGATAGATAGATAGATAGATAGATAGATAGATAGATAGATAGATAGATGATAGGTAGATAGATGATTGATTGATAGATAGATGATAGGTATGTAGGTAGGTAGGTAGATAGATAGATAGGTAGGTAGATAGATAGACAGACAGAGGAGGCACTTAACAGTGTTAAACATTGCCTCCTTTCAAAAAAAATGTTTTTTAAATACAAAATGCACTTTGTGCTTTTTGGAACATTATCTGCCCTTGATTTTCTCAATGTTGGAGTCTCATCCCGTTTGTCTCCCTGACTCTCCCTCAACCCTCCTCTCTGGCTCTTTTCTCTCTGCCTGTCACTTCAAAGTTGACACCCACCCTCTTCTTCCTTTGCTATCCACATGTGTCCTAGTGGGGGTACTGCCAAGGGGTGGCTGAGAGTGGTTACCGCCCGACTCCATCTGTTTCCTCCCAAAGCCACCTCCAACGCAGATGAAGAAAGAGGAGGAGAGAAACAAGTCAGTGAAGAGTGTGTTTCCTCATTCTTCAGTAAAGCTTGAATGAAAACGTCTCAGAAGACTGCTGTTTCTACTGATGTAACCTAAGCAAGAGCAGTGTGCACACGCAGCCCCAGCCAGCGCGGCCCCTCCCTCCCAGCACTGCCGCTGCTGCTCTGTCCTCCCATGTGTCAACCCTGCTGCCTGGGCCACCTCGCCCACCGCTGGAGCTTCACCATCCTCTGGATGCCCCACGAGTGCCTTCAGCTGCACAGTCCCCAACTGGGACCATCGTTTTCCCGTCACATTCCTTCTCCCTCTTCATCCATGCAGTCTCTCAGAAAGGAAACAAAGGGGCTCACTCCACTCCCCCTGTCCTTCCAGTTCTGTCACCAAGTCATCCTCAGATCCTTTCCCTCTTCCCAGCAGCCACTGTCTTAATCCAGAGCCTTGTCCTCTTTCCCCTGAACCAGCCTCCAGATTGTCGCCTGCCTCAATTCTTGTGCCTTCCAATCTCTGTGCCCCACTGCAGCCCAACGGGTTTTCTGAAATTCAAATCGGACTTCATCATTCCCTGGGGCAAAACTCCAGCCCAGGACCAGACAAAGAGTGGCAGTCTGACAAATGTTTGTGGGTCTGAAGTGAGGCAGGAGGACTTTAAGACATGGGGCTCCTCATTCCCCAGGGACATCTCTGAGCTCTCCCTCCTGGGCCCTGACTCAGGCCCTGCACACTCTGGCTTCCTACATATACTTGTTGAACGAATGAGTGAATGGATACTTGGCTGTTCTTCGGCCTGCCCTTGCTTCCCTTCAGATCCCACCTCTGTGCTTTGCCCGCTGCCTCGGCCCGAGGGTTCTGAGCACCCACCCAGCCCTCCCAGGATGGAAGCATCTGCTACACCAGTTTTGGGCAGACCAACAGCTTCCTGCCCTAGGACGCCTGGGAGGGGAGGTCATGTACAAAGGGAATGGGGATAGACTTTCAGGAAGAGATGGGGGGTTATAGCTGAGACACTGAAGGTCTCATTTCTGTCTTTTCCTTAGCTAGATTTTTTTTAATTGAAAAGTTACTTTCATTAATGGTAAGAAAGGAAAGCAATACAACAGGATATATTATGAAGAGTGTTTCACCTGACTCAAACCCTAGTGCCCGTTCCCTAACTGTTCCTTGCGTATCGTTCCAAATATCTTCTATACGTATAAAAGTGTATGTGCTTTTTGTTCAACACAATTGTTGGCTTACTCTTCATCCTGCTCTGTAGTCACTTTTTCACTCAACAAAGTGTCTGGGAGACGGATCCCTGTGACTACATACAGTTCTACCATGTTCAGATCCTTGGCAGCCGGGGATTCCACTAAATGGATGTATCATAACCAATTTAAACCAGTGCACTATTAATGAATAGTTAGGCTTTTCAAGTTCTTTGTTGTTGCAAATAACACTGCCATGCATATCTTTGTGCATAGGTGTCACTGGAATATTAACTCCATGAGGCTGTGTGGTGGGCAGAACAGCCCCCAAAGATGCCCAAGACCTAATCCCCAGGACCTGTGAATACGCAGAAGGGACTTTGCAGATGTGATTAAATTAAAGATCTGGAGATGGGAGGATCATCCTGGGTGATCCAGGTGGGCCCGAGATGTAATCACAGTGTCCTTATAAGAGGAAGGCAGGAAGGTCGAAGACAGAGAAAGGATGAGGGGCCACAAGCCAAGGAATGCAGGTGGCCTCTAGAACCTGGAAAATCAAGGAAATGGATTCTCCCCCAGAGCCACCAGAAGGGACACGGCCCTGCTGAAACCTTGCTTGTAGGACTCCTGACCTCCAGACCATAAGATGATAAATCCATGTTGTTCCAGGTTGCTCCATTGATGGTAATCTGTTACAGCAGGAAGAGAAAACTACCCCAGCGTGGCTGTGTTTGGCCCTCCCCTCCTTGTCTCCCAGTGCCAAGAGCAGCACCAGTAGGAATTCACTACAGAGTTGTTGAATGAACAGAGATGCATGTGTGATTACAGCTGTGAAATTTGAGAGGGCAATCCCACCTGCTCCCAGCGGTGGCATTGCCCTCTCAAAGGGGATAAGCACTTAAAATATTGGTAAATTTGTCAAACCGTCACCCAAAGAGGCTGCACCAGCTTACATTCCCACTAACAGAACACGGCCGTATCTTTCTCCCCATCCGCTTATCCAAGTGTATATTGTCATCGTTATTTTGCCATTATAATTGTGAAAAATGGCATCTCATTGTTTTGATGTGCATTTTTTAATAACAAGTGAGTCTGGGCTTCTTTTCGTATGTTTATTGACCATTTGTATTTCCCTTTTTGTAGACGGCCTATACGTGCTCGTTCCTTCTTTATTTAATTGAGTTATTATTCTTTTTCACTAATTTGTAAGCGCTCTCCCTACTGCATTGCTATGAATATGTAAACATATTCCCTCGGTCTGTCCTTTCACTTTGTTCACAGTGTTTTCTGCCATGGAGGAAATTTTAATTTGACAGAGGCGTGAATGGAGTGCTCGTCCCGGTTTGGCAGAGAGGAACGAGAAGATCACTCTGTTGCACTGACAGAGCAAAGCCTCAGCGATAAGAACGAACAGGGAAGATTAATATGACTGGAGCAGTTAGGGGAGAGGAGGATTGATGGGGTGCGCGTTGTCAGGGGGGCAGCGGAGGCGGACGGGAAGGCAGTGGTGGAGACAGCGGAAGCTGGACGGGGATGTGGATCATCCACTCCTCATATGCAGGTGTACACTACAGGCAAGAAAATAATCTTTTTTTTTTTAATCCCTTATAATGTGCCAGGTACTATTTTAGGTATTTAAAACACTCTATCCTATTCTATCTCCATAGCCCTGGGAGGTAATACTATGATGCCCACTTAAAAAACAGAGCTATGAAGGTTCAGGAGAGGTTAGGTAATCGCCCAAGGACACACAGCCAGTAAAGAGCAGAAGCTCACCTGCCTGAGCTCAGAGTCCATAGTCTCAGTCACTGCACTTGTGACAGTCTTTTGAGACATAAGGATCTCATTTACAGAGGAGGAAACTGAATCTCAGAGAGGTTAATTAATTTGTTCAAAGTCACACAGCTTGTAGGTGGAGGAATTAGGATTTGGACTCAGACCAGCTGATCCCAAAGCCCTTGCTGTTCTCATCCCCTCTCTTCATCCATTCCCTGAGCACCCAGAGGTTCTGATTTAACTGGTCTGGCATGGGTCCAGGAGCATCACCAGGTAACTCCAAAGTGCAACCAGGTTGAGAACCCTGTCCTGGCCCAGGAGGGAAAGGCCCAGAGAGAAGCACCGGCCTGTTGAGTCACCCTCTGCAAGCAGCAGACTGCCTGGGGGACCCAGTCCATCTCCAGCCAGGCCAAGCCCATCTGCCCCTCTGCAGCCCAGCCAGGCCCGCAACAATTCGGGTGAACACTGGGCAGGGCAGAGAAATTCCTAAGTCATTCAGTTTTTCATCAACCTTAGATTTAAAATCTCATTTAATATTTTCTTTGGAAATATCTCCCTGAGGTCTAGGCAAGAAGACCCCTGCCCTGGCCCTGTACCTCAGGGGGCCCCACCTTGGGGTACCCTCCTTGAAATTCTCTGAGTCCCCTTTGGGTAGTGGGGACCAGTCAGGGCTGGGAGTTCTGTGTCAGCAGGCACTCAGGCCCAGAGCAGGGCCTGCATGAACCAGGGCAGGGCCCAGGTTCCAGACACACCCTCCTTGAAACTTGCTGAGGTCCCCTCCAGTAGCTGAGACCCTCCAGGGTGGGCAGAGGCATGGGTGCAGGGCACTCCCGGTCCAGACCTAGAGCGGCATGAGCCTCCGGCCCTACTTCTCCAGGTGCTCTCAGACCCTCTACCCTGCAGTGGGGTCTATAAGACAACTGAAGGAGCTCCAGGACTCATGCCTGGGACCAACCTAGGCCAGGCCCTGCTTCCAGGAGGGGGGTCTGCAGAGTGGATCGCAGCCTCTGGCTGGCATGGTATCTCTTTCACTGGATGGCACAAGCCTGGGCCCCTAGAATGGTGCTGACATGCTGGCTGGGGTACCTCCATTCATGCCAGACAGAGGATGAATGTGGGGCTCTGAGCTACCCACAGCCCACCATGGACCTTGGGCCTGAGCCACTGTGTGGCCATGTGCTGGTGCTCTCTGGGCATGCTTCCAACACAGTGCTACCCCAGGTCCACAGCACCTGAGGGTGGTGGGAGTGGTGGCAGGCCTCCTTCACCCCGTGTGCTCCCCCACTGGCACCCGGTATGGTGCTCAGACCTCCTCCCAAGGCTCCAAGTCAGACAGCTCCTGGGGGTGGCCATGCCTGTCTCCGCCAAGGGCTTTGGAGAAATGCCAATCGAACTTTCCTGTTGATGCATTCTCTTACGGCCTAGGGGCATGGTGACACCATGCTCCCCCAGCCCATCTTAAGACAGGCCAGCGAGGCGAGGGACGTTCCTTGTGCAAATGCGCCAGCCCCCCTGCCTGTCCTCCACGCCAGTGGCTGTGTGTGGAAGCCAGGGGCCTGGGCCTCAGTGAAAGCCATCACGTTCAAGGTTTGAGTGATTACAGCCTAACAAGTTCAAGAGAAGACGTGGGTGAAAGATGTGTTGTTTTACGTTTATGCTACAAAATTCCAAGTGACAAATTTAACATGACCGGAAAACGAATTATTGTTCCCCTTTCCCTGCAGTCTTCGGGCAAGTCTTGCACTGTGGTCATCAGTAATAAAGCACGATAACAACTTAAGTCAGTGAAGTCAGGTCTCATGGGCGGCACAATGGCTGATGCAGCTTCACGAGTAATGATGCAAAGCAGCGTTAAATCAACAGCGTGAGGGAACTGCCGAGGCTCAGAGATTTACACGGCTTCAATACCTACAGGCTCTGAAGAGCAGGCATTGTGAGTTAACATGATGTGGCCACCTTTTCCTTGCATTGGGAAATATGAAATTAGCTAGGGAAGTGCATTTGACAATAAAGAATATGGAGAGATGTTTCCTGGACCTGAACAGGGAGAGACAGTGCCTGGGCACTCTGAAGAATCTTCATGAACACTGATTAGACAGTAAACAAACAATCACATTCCTCTTCTCTGCCCATTATTTGAAATCTTCATCAATAAATCATTACACTGCACATGGAGTTTATAACACATTTTTAATCAAATGTTTTCCTGGGGGCCCATACCCTAAGGATTGTTCTGTTCTTTGGGCTTGGTCAAGCCGTAAAAATGAACATATTTACCAATTTATATAATTTATTTCATGCTTCCCATGTCCCCTGTACCATGCTAAGCATGGTATTAGCATTATTTCATTTCATCTTCATATCACTCTCTTTGAGGACAGTTCTAGCACCATCTTCATTTTCTACCTGGGGAGTGTAAGGCTCAGAGAGGTAGACTAACTTGCTGGAAGTCACACAGCTGAGTAGGTGGCCAAAGCAGGATTTGACCTAGCACCTGTGTGGCCACTGTCACGTTCCCCTGTCCTCAGTCTCTGTTAGGTCTCAGTGGGGTTGGAGTGTCCACGACTGGGCAGACCCTCTTCCTCTAGCCACAACAAAGCTACCTCAGAACAGTGAAAGGGTGAGGTGCTGGCTGAGCCAGTGTTTTCCTCTTTGGGGGTCCAACTCCCTGAGCCTTCATTCCCACCTTTGCATACTCCAGCTTCCCTCTGCCAGAGTGTATTGTCCCCTATTAACCCAATATGCCAGAGCATCCTGCTAAGGAAGCTTCACCAGTCTGGGCCAGCCTAGCCAGCCCCTGGAAGGCTCACCTGGGCCACGGAGAGGTGTCAGCGATGGGAAGACAGGCTGGAAGGAGATGGATGGGGGCTGCAGGAGAAGGACAGGGGCCAGTGAGGGAACCAGGCAATGGGGAGAGAAAGGGATGCTTCTCGAGGGCCTCCAA